TAATTTATTTAATTCAAGATATTATGAAGATACATTTAATGCATTTGCCTCACCCAAGCCAGGGCTACAAGTATGCCCTTTCCCCATACAGTGTGCTCCACTTCCATTATTTATGGGTTTATCCCCTCCCCCCAGAGTAATGAGTATTAATTACTGCCACATGAGCACCTTAGTGTTGCTCAGTTAGTACCACTTTGATGGTGAGTACATGTGGTACATGTTTTTCCATTCTTGTGATACCTCACTTCAAACGATGGACTCAAGCTCTATCCAGGATAATGTAAGAGGTGCTAGTTGACCATTGTTTTTTGTAGTTGAGTAGTATTCCATGATATACATGTACCACATTTTATTAATCCACTCATGTATTGATGGGCACTGGGTTGTTTCCACATCTTTGCAATTGTGAACTGTGCTGCTATAAACATTCGAGTGCAAGTGTCTTTTATAAAATGTCTTTTTTTTTTCCTTTGGGTAGATGCCTAGTAATGGGATTGCTAGATCAAATGGAATTTCCATTTTTAGCTCTCTGAGGTATTTCCAAATTACTTTCCACAGGGGTTGTACTAATTTGCAGTCCCACCAGCATTGTAAGCGTGTTCCAATCTTTCAGCATCCACACCAACATTTATTGTTTTGGGACTTTTTGATAAAGGCCATTCTCATTGGAGTTAGGTGGTATCTCATTGTGGTTTTGATTTGCATTTCCCTAGTGATTAGAGATGTTGAGTACTTTTTTATATGTTTGCTGGCCATTATTCTGTCTTCTTTGGAGAAGTTTCTGTTCATGTCCTTTGCCCATTTATTGATGGGTTGTTTGATATTTTCTTGTTGATTTTCTTAAGTTCTAAGCAGATTCTTGTTATCAGCCCTTTATCAAATGTGTAGAAAGCAAAAATTTTCTCCCATTGTATAGGTTGTCTGTTTGCTCTAATGATAGTTTCCTTGGCTGTGCAGAAGCCTTTTAATTTGATCAGGTCCCATTTGTTTATTTTTGTTCCTGCTGTCATTGCTTTGGGAGTCTTCTTCATAAATTCTTTGGCGAGGCTGATGTCTAAAAGAGTCTTCCCAACATTTTCTTCAAGAATTTTTAAGGTTTCACACCTTAGGTTTAAGTCTTTTATCCATCATGAGTTGATTTCTGTGAGCGGTGAGAGGTGGGGATCTGGTTTCACTCTTCTGCATGTGGATATCCAGTTTTCCTAGCACCATTTATTGAATAGGGATTCTTTTCTCCAATATATATTTTTGTCTGCTTTGTCAAAGATTAGATGGCTATATGAGGATGGTTTTATATCTTGGTTCTCCATCCTATTCCAAATGTCTATATCTCTGTTCTTGTTCTAGTATTATGCTGTTTTTGTTACTACAGCCTTGTAGTAAAGTTTGAAGTCTGGCAGACTGATGCCTCCTGATTTGTTCTTTTTGCTAAATTTCAAAAGATTTGAAGATGTGCATTTTTTCTTTTCACTTTTTTGGTGGTTTTTTAACCCTCTCAATCTTTTTCCTTAATTATGGAAAAACTTTCCTCAAATACTTCCCATGGATGTTTTTCTTTTTCTGGAACCCCTGTAGTCCCACCTACTTGGGAGGCTGAGACAGGAGGATCACTTGAGTCCAAGGAGTTCAAGGTCATAGTGAGCTATGAATGCGCCTCTGCACTCCAGCCTGGGCGACAGAGCAAGAACCCTGTCTCTGAATTCAACTCAAACCAATAGCAAGAAGACCAGGAGGAGATGCATCCAGGTAGGTCAACCCCTGCATAGCCCAGCCTGATTCCTGAGGCTCAGTTTCTGAAGATACCAGCAACTGCCTTCCAAGGTGGTTGTGAGAATCTAAGATAATATATGTAAACACCTGGCACATATAGCTACTGAAATAGTAGCTATTACTGCTCCCGCAAACACAGCACGAGAGGGACTGTCCGAAGTAAGACAAGAGCCTGTTAATCTCAGTAAACGCCTTGGGGTCTCGGGGTCGTAGTTGAGCACCAGGCGGCTCCTGGAAATGTAGAGAGCAGTAGCATTCACGGGGTTCATTGCAGACACTTCGAGGCCAATGACTCCCGGTTGAAAAGAAATTCCGGATCCCACTTTGTAAGCAGTCAGGGAACAATGGCGAATTTGCAACAATCCGGAAGAAATCAGAGCAGAACCATTGGCCAAACTAACCAAAATCCGTGCAAGTTTGTGGAGCTGAAGCAATCCTCCCACACATGGGGGCCTTGGCGCCCGTCCTCCCTCCTGGGACTTTCAGACGAAGAAAGAGAGAAGAGAGAGACCCCAGCGTTCGAGTTCGTCCGGAGCGTCCACAGAGCGCAGAACGCGGCGGTGTGGGCGCTCGCGCGGGACTCGGCTCTCAGTCCGGCCCCACGGCTCGGCGGGCGGCCTTGGCTCGAGCTGCATCTCCGAACCCGGAGGCGCCTCCTCTGGTGGAGCTGGCGGGCGCGGGCGCAGGCCCAGCCGGGCCCCAGGGGCGGCACGCTTCTCACAGGCCGCAGGGCCTCTTACTCCATCACAGCGCCTGGCGAGGGGGCAGCGGCGGCGACAGCAAGGACGCCGGCCCGGGCGTCGGCTTTCCCGACCTAGCGCGAGACGCCGCGGCGGCGAAGGTCGCTGTTGCGGCTGGCTGAGGCCGCCGCCGCTCTCGCCATATCGGACTCGGGGCCCAGACTGCGCCCCGGCTCTGCGCCCCGGCTCTGCGCCCCGGCGGCAGCAGCCCGCTGTTCCCTGAGGTGGCGAGGCGGGCAGGAGAGTCCCTCACCCGAGAGGGGAGGGCCGGGGAGGAAGTGCGCGGGGAAGAAGTGCGCGGGGAGGAAGTGCGCGGGGAGGAAGTGCGCGGGGAGGAAGTGCGCCGGCGGGCGGCAGGGGGCGGGGAGCAGGCCCGGCCCGGCCGCGGCGGCGCCCCTGGCTCCTCAGTCGCACACTATGGCGTCACCAGACGCAAGCGCCGCCCCCTCACTGCCCCGCCATCTTTTCGGCGCCGCACAAGACAGACAACTCCTCCGCCAAGCACGACGGCCGCCGCCTGACGGCCAGGCCCCGCCGCCGCCCGGCGCACACCGCAGGGCCCCGCCGCAGGCCCCGCCCCCGTGCCTCTCCGCCCTCACCCCGCCCCCACGCGCCACTCTAGCGCGGGAGGGCCTGCGCTGCTGCGCCGTAGGATCCCGCGCGCTGTGCGGCGCCTCAGGCCCTGCTGGCGACGCCGACCGTGACCCCAATGGGCAAAGCCTCTGTCATCCCCGAGACTCCCCGCCGCCCTGTTTTTGCGTTTCTAATTATCGTTTCACTTCAGTTTGGTAGTCCGTACTTCATAAATATCATTTTTCCCCTCAGTTTTCTAGTTATTTACCATACTGTTGTTTTTATTAGTCTCTAGGGATTCAAAAACTCCATCAACAGTTTTAATACTGTTCATTTTTAATAATATTTGAGTGTGTGTTTTCCCATTTTTCTTAACATTGCACTGGCTCTGTATATGTTATTCATTTTAGCCACATTTATTATATCCCATGTAACAATTATTCTAAATTTCATTTAGAATAATATAATGCCTGCATTATATTATCTTATTGCACATTCCTTGTATTTAGCCTGTGCTTACTTTTACAGATTCCAGAGACTGACATCTAGCACACACATTGTCAGGCATCGCCTATTCTGGGAATTGAGTTTCCAGCTGTGTTGTTTCACCTAAATACTCTTGAAACAAACACAGTAAGGAACTTGGGTATGGAGAATCTCCATTGTCTTTTAGTCTAAACAACATCAATATTCATTAATAATATGGCCTTGTTTTAGTTTTCAATATTTAAAAAGGCTTTTAATATACTGTTTCAGAAATATTATAACCTAATGAGTTTCAAAGATAACCACTTTGAGTAAAACATATTTGTTAAAAGATTTTTCTGAGATCAAATTATTTAAATTGATCAAAATGTGCTGAAAAAAATGTGGTATAAAGCCCAAGTTCAATATTTGACAATTCAGTCAAGCTTGTTTTTTTGTATGGTTGGAATTTTTCAATAACTAATAAATTTCAGCTGTGTTATCTAATGATAACCACTAACAGTTGTTTTACGTTTTCAAATTGGCCAAGGAATTGCCAAGTTTATTTTATAATTCTCTAAAAATTCTCCCTTCGATATTTCAAACCGGCAGTTGTCACGCTATAAAAATGGGAAACGTGACCTTCGTGCCCAGAGGCCTTGTCCTTAGCTCATGCATGGTCAGGTTTCACCACAGATTCACTTTCCAAACTCAGGTCATGGGACCCATCCACCTTATGTCTTCAGAACAGGCTGATTTAGATCATTGCTTGTAACAAGACAGTTCACCTTCAAAGGGTTCCAAAGACCAGTTTCTCTCCTTTAGGAGTCTCATATTTATTACCTGTCAATTTCTCACTAAAACCTCCTAACAAGATTCTTGTGCTCACTTTGACCCACCAAGGTTTTTCTGTACATTTTTATCTGAAAATATTAGAAACAATATGCTACACTCCTCCCACAAAAAAAATTACATATTTCAAGTGACTAAATTCTTTTTGGTATTTAAGGTCAAATGACAAAACCTGGTCTTTGATATCATGCAGTGTCTGACACAATACTTCCCTCAAGCTCTATCCGACCACTTGCTGCGCATTTACTGCTTTTTCTTCTCACTTTCATGACAGAGTAATAAGCACTCTTTTCCATTTCATTAAACCCTCATTATGCTTCTGTACCCTGATAATTACAGGGCATTTAAGATTAATTGATTTAAAGTCACACACTCTTAAGCTCCTTATTCCCCAAATTAGTAGAGGTCCAGTTGTATAATAATTCTTACCTTTAAGCTTTTCCATTGAAGTAATTAATAAAATAAGAATTATGAAAGCAGTTTTAATATATTAACTCTGTACCCACTATTCATACAATGTGATAAATCCTATGAGGAAAGGGTCTGGTTCTGGGGTTCACACTCTCTCTTCCATGTGACTGATCGCAGTGGTGGCTAAGCTCTGCCAAAAATGAATAAATGACTGCACAGTGCATAATTAAACATGAAAAACCACCTAAAATTTACAGGAATTGTATTAGCTTAGAGAATATTGTATTTCTTCCACAGCAGGCAGAGTGGATGCTGGGTATCCTGGGGTCACGGCCCATGAGAAGAAAGGGGCTGACTGTAGGAAAACAAGCAGCGATTAGGGCAGAGGTGTTCACCAGCCACAAATCTGGATTAGGAAAAATAGCCAACAATAATGTAAAGACAGAGGAGAGGGTGTAAAATGCTACAAAGGTGCTCACTAGGACAAGGATGCTTTGGGTGACTCTGGACTCAGGGGAGGATCTGGGGGAGAGGTTGGTGCTATGAATGTGTTGCACCTGCTGCTTGTGCCTGCGCAGGATGCAAACCATGGAGCCACTGGACCAGGTCATGAGTCCCAAACACAAAACATCATAGGATGAAAACAATAAAATAAGTAGAAATCCCATTATGCTGTTGTGAAAATCTACTATAGAACAGTATCCCAAATCCTTGTACCTGGTGGTGTTCATCTTGTTCTGCTGGCCAGTCACAAACTGAACAATAAGGATATTTACCAGCATGTTCAGGATCCAGCACAGGATACTGAGGGGCCCAATGCATTGAGGAGCCTGTGGTTTCAGCTGTGCCCACCTGGAGCCTGTGGGGCTGATGGTGATGGCCTGGAAGACACTCAAGAGACAGGTGGTGCCCATGCACACACCCCTGCTCACTCTGTGAGCATAGAAAACAAGTTTGCACAAAAAGTCATCCCAGAAATGTTTCAACTCCAAAGCTGTCACTGTGTGTGTGAGTCCTTTGGAGAGTATGACCAAGATATTGGCTACAGTCAGGTGCTCGAGAACCAAATCTGTGAATCTTAAAGTGCCTCTGGTATAATAAAGGAAACTGTAATGGAAAAGAAGAAGGAAATTCCCCAGAAATCCAACTGTGGTCTGAGATAAAAGGATCATTTCTATTGCCACTTCCTTTGAGGCCATTTGTCATTTTCTTGTGACTGACAATCTCATTCAGAGAGAGAGAATCCTGCATGGAAACATGAGGATGGTTTTATTTGTTGACAACTAAAAGTCACTGTAATACTCATACCATTATTTTCAACAAATACATTCTTCATAAAATCTATTCTTTCAGTAAGAGTTTTGCTATTGTATGAAATACAACATTACATTTATAATTATTATATATACAATATATATATAATTTCTATCTATACAGAAAATCTTCCCACTACAAGAGGACTATATGAATGTGTTGCATAGATCTTTTCCAAATCTTGCAGTGCTTTATTATTCCCATTTTACAGGTGAGAAGATCTTAGGCATGGGAAGGCTTAATTACATTTCTCAAGTCAACTCCTTGTTGAGAGGAGTGTCAGAAGTTGATAGTTAACTTTCTCATTGTGCTGTCTCAAATCAGACATATGTATATATTTTCAATCATCCACATATTTTCTTCATATATTTGCTTATCCTGTTAGTGTTTAAAAGAATGATCATATTCCTTTTCCCACCAATTTCAATTGTCGTATAGGCGTATATGATCTATGCTATTTCAGAGATCCAAGTAGAATATAAGTGTGCTGAGTTTGCTATATAATCTTATAATGATAATCATACAAAATCCAATGTAATTTATAAATGCAGTAATGATTCCATGTTGTTTTTGAAAGGGGAGACTCTTCTTCACCTGAACCATGAAGGAGTTCATTTGGGAGTTATTGTGTAATGAGAAAGGGGACATGACACATAACTGGAGATAAAACACTTCAGAGGACAAGCTATTAACAAATTACCTGTGGTGTATACAGAGAATTAATATTTGTGAACACAAAGGTATGCAATAAAATCTCTTCAATGTCAGAATTGTTAAATATATGGTTACATAAGTGCATTATGTAAAAGGAAAATGGAGGTAGGAAAAATTATTCTCTTAATATAAATAGTAGTAGCCTGAGTATAACTTGGGAATGGCATTGGAAATGTTTTGTACAACAGAAAATATTGTAAATAATTCAATACTTTAAAAAACTGAAATCATAATTTTTACAATACAAAAAGGTAAGGCTAAGTTACCTTTCCTGTTGACTTTGTGAATGGAAACTGTCATATACCACAATGATTGGACAACAGGTGTTCTCTGTCATGAGAAACTTATGGTCTCCACTAGGTATATTAATATGCCTAGAATTGACAAAAACCCTATATTTACTCTTTCTAAACAGAATAAAGTAATTCAATCAGCCATACCTTATACATTATCACAGCCATGAAGGAATTGTAGAACCACCTCTACCCATCCTAGAAATGGTGTCCCTACCTCCTATAGGGAAGGTAAACCACTTGGTAGATTAATTACACAATTATACTAGAGAACCTAAAAACATCTAGGCATCTATGACTGTATCAAAATCAACAATGATGAACAGCATCGATTATATTAAAGTTAATTAGAAACAGCTGGGAACTGGTTTATGGTCTTGACCTCCATTCTTTTCCACAAGTTCAACCCATAACTCAGTCCTTCTTTCCTACTTCTCGCATGAATGCTGTACTGGCTCATTTTCCAGCCCCAAAGAATCCCTTTTTGAGACAAGAACACTTACCCGAGCTCCTAATACACTTACTGCCCTTGCAGACCATGCTTCACAAACCACAATATAAAATACTCACCTGAGTTTCTTCCAGTGCTGATGGGCTCAGGGATCACAATCAGGTCAGCACAGCCAGTGAGTGTGTGGGAGGGGGCAGCCAGGTCTGAGAGATATGCTTTGTGATCCTGTGACCTCACCTCCCCACAGGGCTGCAGTTATCATGTCACCTGTAGTAACAGTGACAGTGCACACTGGGGAGCTAATCATAGTTTGAAAAACTTTGCCCCAGTTGCAAGTTTCCAAAAACAATGATGCCTTTCTGGTGAGCATCTCCAGGGAGATGAGTGTGTTTGGGAGAGGCCCTTCATTTCCATTTCCATGATCCCTCCCAGCAGACGGGGCTCCCCTGGAGAAATGACACAATGATGAGGTCTGAGGCATGAGAAGCTGACAGCAAAGCACATGTGTCTTCCTGGATTCAGTGCTTCTCTGAGATGTTACCATGGGGAAAATCTAATCTTCTGTTAATCCTCAAGATTGTAAGCTAGATGTTATTTTTTTAATTATGGCTAGAGAAAGGGACTCATACAAAGATTCGAGAAGGATTTGTCAACAGGTTACAGTGCAAATGACGTGTTGCACTCTAGCAGCTTCTTTGCACTGTAAGAACTTGAAGTCAAATATTTATGTCAAAAATAAATAGGGGCAAATTTGTGCAAATCAATGCAAATTAACGTGAACATGTAGATGATATATTCTGGTAATGTATACCTTTTCAGCATTTACTCCCATGGGGACAGGGATTCTAAACTGTTTAATACTATACTAGAAAGAAACTTTTATCAAAAATTCTCTCATGTGCTTAACCCCACAAATGTATGTCATGCATGGATTATGCATCTATTATTTAACTTCTTCATATAATGATGGCACCTAAGTATTCAATAGATTTAAAGTTCTCAAATATTCACAATAGTTTTTAGGATGTATTCAAAAGGGTAATGTGGGAAGTTGCCTGAATTGACCCATATAGAATATTACAGATATATGGGCAATGTGAATGCAGATTTGAAGACTTTATGTACACACAAATATAACAAAGATGTTTATGGCATTTTGTTCATAATTCCAAAACTTGCAAGTAGCAAGTATGATGTTCAGTAGATAAATGGATAAACTGTGGCACTTCCAGGTATGAAATAGTATTCCGCATTTGAAAGATATGAGCTTACCAAGCCATGAAAAGACATGGATGAAAATGAAGTGCATGGTACTAAGTGAAATACACCGATCTGAAATGGTTATATTCTGTATGATCCCAGCCATTTGACATTCTGTAGAAGAGAAAATTAGGAAGAGTGTAAAATGCTCCTTGGCCAGGGATTCCTGGGGAGTGAGAGATAAATAGCCACAGAATACTTTTAGTGCACTAAAACTACTGTCTATGACTCTACAGTGGTAGACACATGGAATCACACATTTATCCACAGCCAACAGAATATATAACAGTAAAATGTCTACTATTCACTTTGGGTGATAATGATGTGTCAACGGGGAAATGTTGCTAATGGGGGAGCATGAGTAGGAGGGTCAACCTAAATGACAGAGACGGGCTCTCTAAAAGAACTTTTATTACATAGGAGAGTCTTCCATGACTGGGGTGTGGCCCTGCCCATCTCCCTCCCTTCCCTTCTCTCCGCCCAGGCTCCCTCCAGCCACACCGGATGCCTTCCTCACCTCCCCTGTGGCCAAATTCATTTATGTCACCAAATCTCTGAGGAATACACCCTCCCTCTGAGTACACTGTTCCCAGACTTGTGAGGGGGCTGCCTCCTCTTGTCTTTCTGGTCACAGCACAAATGTCACCTCATTGAGGCTTTTCATACCTGCACACCTAGTGGCCCCAGCTCTCTGTCCCAGCACCTGCTTTGTGTCACTAGAGCACTTGCTATTCTCTCCATCACTCATTCGCTTTCATGAAGTTGTCCATCTCCCTGTCCAGACCACGAGCTCTTTCAGGACAGGAACAATCTTGGTTACTTTCTTCACTCCACCGAAACCTAACTTGGCCCCTACTTAAGGTGACCAACTGGGGCACAGTTACTGTGAGTAAATGAGGTGATCTTGGGCCCCTTTTTACCTCTGAGCAGCTCACACTGTGGAGAGGAATGCTGGTAATGAAGGGTGCATGTTGAGTCCCAGGAAGGGGACACAGCAAATGAGCCCCCATGTTGCCAGCTCCAGTTGCTCCAGCAGAACACAGTAGGCCCTGTCTGCCTCTGGTGTCCCCTCACAGTCACTGCAGCAACCATCGGGAGTGGGGTGAACAAAGCACACTTTTGTTTGTGTGTCCTCAAGGTAGTTTCTCTCTCTGAACATTGCAGGGCTAGTGAATGCATGCGACCTAAAGGATCCAGGATCTTCGGAGGGACCTCAGAAGCCTCCCTTTCTCCTTGTTTGCCTCCACTGTTCTGGGGTGTCCAGTTCATTCCCAAGCCCTCCTTTCCCCAGCCAGGGCAATGACTCAGGCCCCACTTACAAATGAGACCCCTGAGTCTCCAACAAGTATAGTATTGTCCCTGGAAGTCAGGGATATGGTACAATGCTTTTCCACATTCTGCACTATGCCAAGCTCTTAGTTCTACAAACGCACAGGCTACTCTGAAGGATCTCCAGGGAGTAGAAACCACTTTATAAGGACCTGGGAGCCCAGTGGGTAACTCATGAGGAACTAAGTCCAATGGGCACTTCTCCAAGACTTTGGGACCTTGAAGACCCCTGGACAAGTGCCCGAATATACACGGGAAGTATTTGAGGCTTTTTCCCATGCAGCCCCCCTACACATTAAGTAGGGGGTCATCCTAGTTCCACATACCAAGAGCTATAAACTCAAAATCCTAGAAGATGTAGTCTTGATTCTACCTAGAAGATGTAGTCAATCCTAGAAGATGTAGTCTTTCTGGGCTGGATGGCCCAGGGAGTGGCAGTAAGAGAGCACATAGAATAACACTGCAGACCTTAGAAGGTCCTATTTTTGAGACACCTCAGAACTGCAGGGTGTGCATATTCCAGTTCCTATAACCACAAGGAATTTCCTTTTAAATACGCGCTGTGTAGCTCTTCCCTCCAAATTTACTGCCTTTGCTCTCGATTAAACCAACCTAAACAACCAGGATCTAACATAAAGAAAGAGCTGCCTGTAGGAATGTTGATATTGTAAGTTCAACCTCCCTGGGGGTTGACTGGGGACAGGACAGGAGCTACGTCCTGAATGCTGGCCCTGCTGCTGTTCTGTTGTTTTTATTTTTTAATAAAATTATAAAATACTAAGGAGCTACAGATGTTTTTATTACATGGATAGCTTGTACAGTGCTTAAGTCGGGGCTTTTAGTGTGTTGTCACCAGAATAGTGTTTATTGTACCCAGAATGTAAGATTTAATCCCACATGTGTCCTCCCAGACTACCCCATTTTGGTTTCCAATATCCTATATATCTCTCTGTTCCTCTGTGTACCCATAATTGATCTCCCACTTATTAGTGAGAATACATGGTGTTCGGTCATCCAATTTTGAGATGCTTCACATAGAATAATGGTCTCCAGTTCCACCCAAGTTGCTGCAAAAGGCACTCTCTCATGTCTTTTTATGGCTGAGTAGAACTCCATAGTGTGTGTATTCACCACATTTCCTTTATCCACTCATGGATTCATGGGCATTTAGGTTCATTCCACATCTTTGCAATTGTGAATTGTGCTGCAATAAACATTTTAGTACCAGTGTCCTTTTTTTTTTTTTTCAAATGAAATGACTTCCTTTTGTTTGGATAGATTTCCCAGCAGTGGGATTGTTGGGTCAAATGGTGGGTGTATGTTTAGTTCATTGAGGAATCTCCACGCTGTTTTGCATAGGGTTGTACTAGTTTGCAATCTCAGTGAGAGTGTGTAGCACTCCTTTCTCTCTGCTTCCACACCAGAATCTATTGTTGTCTGACTTTTAGTAATGGCCATTCTGAGAGGGATCATAGAGTATATCATTGTAGTTTTAATATGCATTTCCCTGATAAATAGCGATGTAGGCCTTCTGCTGATAACAGAACCATGTTTGTAGCCCATTTCTCTGTCTTGTTTTGAAAACTTGTTTTGAAAACACCTACTATTAGGTTGTAGCTATATGCACCCTTCAAGTTCTCGTAATCCACATCTATACTGTACTAGATCCTAAATTCCCCTAATTTTCTTCACTATGTTGCTGCAACTCTCCAACTGAAAAGCAAAACAAGTTCTGTTACTAAAGCCCTTATATTCTGAAACTAGACAAATTTTAAGGAGCAAGCCTAATGCATCATGTACGGGCCACACAATAACTTCACCAAACTGCCAAATATAATTAGAGGCATTCAAGCTACAAATCAGGAGGAGGAGATGATTTTAGGCTGCAGACAGCTTTTCCCAAGACATCAGAACAAGACTCCACATCATAAGAATTTTGGCCCTCTAAATTCTGCCTTTTTCACCTGACAGGATAAAGGTGAAATTAAATTTTCACAATAGATAGCTTCTGCGGATACAGTACCTAATCTATGAAATTCTTTAATATACATTGATTGAAAAAGAAAATGTAGGTATTTTCCTGATACTGCATGCTGTACCTAGAAGAATCCCTCCGGAGAGTATTGAAAATCACACGCACAAAATAAGAAAGCAGGCCACATAATTACAATGGGCCTTATATATTGGCCATTTGATTTATTCAAGTGGTTTTTCTTAAGTCGAGGTCCATGGCTCAAATACTAGGCTTGTCATATTACTATTAAATTTACTTTGTATTTTCTCTTTTTAAAATTGTATCTGTATGTGTTACATCTTGTTTTGTTTTGGTTATTTGTTTGGTTTGGGTTTTTTTATATATATAGAAGTACAACTCCTAACTAGATAATGCTAGTCATACAATTTGATGTGATAACTGATGACTATAGAATAGACAAAATTGAAATTGATAACGGACTCTAGGTAAACTAAACCTGAGAGTGACTCTCTTCAATGTGGTTAAAAAGATTTCACACTGAATGCTAATAGGCAATCACACCCCCACCAACATGTAAGACAAGACGTACAACAAGGACAAGTCTATCCTGGCATTTAGGGAAAACAAAACCTAACTACCAGGTGATTGATCAGTGATGTTTTTGGAGAAAGATCTTGATCAAAAGAAGGGCACGTGAAAGTGATCAGAGTCAAAGCAAAATCACTACTATTAAGAAAACCCTGGCAATTAGAGGTGGGGAAGGCCCAGAAAAGAGGGTTCCCGTACTTGAATGCCTGAATAAGAAAAACTATGACAAAAGACTGCAAATACCACAACCTTGAGCAAAGGCCATCACAACTTGACATG